TTTTTGATTACTCATTTCCCAGAAACAATAATTATACTCAGATTTGTAAAACTTAAAAGTAATTTTAATCATTGAGATTGCAGTATATTTTTAAGAGAGCACCTGATAAGAGTTGTACTATAAAGAGGAGTAAAGAGGGGGAGAGGTGTTTTTTTTTTCCTCTTTTTGACATTTGCCATAACAGCAGGAGTGTCATTATGGTAACAACCACAGGCAATGTTAACACAGCTACATATAAGCTACATATAAGCAGTGGTGAGGGGACCCAGGGTACTTCTCTTATTTTTTCCATTCTGTGCTGGGTACCCAGGGAAGGTGTTGGGACTGGACCACAACACAGGTGTCTGTGGAGGAATGGGAGAAGGGAAAAGGAGGGGGAAGCTGGGACCCTGAAGGATGTCATGGTGTGCTATAGGGTTAGCAGGGAGCCTGTAGTACAAATATAGGACTGGGAGATTCCCAAAATGCCCAAGGGGTGAGGATGAGGTCCATTTGCTGCTGGTGGGGCCATGCCTTGGCTGAGCAGAGATTCAGAAGAACCTGTACCCATCAACCTGACACTCCCAGCAGCCAGATAAAACTGTTGTTACACTAGCTGAAGTCTTTTCTTTTTTTTTTTTTTTAAATAAATAAAAAATATAGTAAAAAAATATGCAAAGATTTTTTTTTATTTTTATTTTTATTTTTATTTTTTTTTAAGAAAGAACCCTCATATCATTTCCAATTTTTCCAGTCAAACAACAGTAAAGTACACATAGTATATTGCTGTATTAAAAATATCAGCTACTTTCAGGAATGCAACTTTTAAGCATAGACTTCTCTCTTCCAGTCCAATCACATAAATGTTTGTTAAATAACCTGCCTGACCTTCCACTGTACTTACTGCTCTTTTTTTTTTTTTTGCTGTCAGTTTCTAATTTTCCTGGATAGGCTGAAAAAAAAAAAATCACAACTCAGCTTTATAAAATCTTATAATATTCTTTGTTTCACAGATAATTATGAAACTTGACTTACAGTCATATCTGGCATATTTATGGAGGGTAGATGGAAGGAATCAGAAGAAAGGAAGGCTAGACTTCCCGCTAGACACACATTTACTGTCCCAGTGAAAAGTGGCCTGAAGACTGAAGCTAAGAAAGAATTTCTAGAGGTAACTGCCTGATATCTGAATATGTACAGATTTACAAAGCATGGGGCAATATTGCAAAAGTGGCAACTGCTTACAGCCATTTCTTACTAATATTATATTGCTATCAGTATTTAGTAATGAAACCATTATTTAGGAAATCACAGAAGGGCAGTTTTTTATCAAACCACCTCAATTTCTCATTTTTTTTGAATTAACCACGCAGATGAGAGAGATCTAGGGGCTGTGACCAGTACTTATGTGACTATGATCCACAGAGACGGTTACAGATCAGTAAAACCTACCTGCTCTGCATTAGTCAAGAACCATATTTTACATGACCTTTGTTGGAGAAGATTCTGAGTTAACATATGAAGCCAAAATATATTCAGTACTCAAGCTAGTGAAAATGAACAAACACTCTATCACACAACAAAAAGCTTGGGTAAGAACAAGATGCCAAACCGAATTCTTTGCAAATACTAAATTCTTGAATGTTAGCAAGCCTATGTTCTAAGTGAGCAGTTATTTTGATTCATGTTTAAGACATGACTAAAAGTTTGCCAAGGCTTACTGCAGTGTTCCTTCACTTTCCATTAGCAGTTTTTTTAAAGCACAACATAGTGCTTTATGAGTGAAAAATGTCAATGCGCAAAATTTAGATTTAAGCCAGGTACAAAAAACCCCACAAAACTGTGTTAAAAAACAAACCCTTAAGTATTTCATACTGTATCCAATCAAGCAGTCCTATAACCATGTAATTACCTCTCTATATAAGTAAGAAATAAAATGCAACTGACACTTGAGAAATAATTTACAACCAACATCTAAATGATTTCTGGTAAAAGCAAGATTGAAGTTTTTGATAGAAAATGAAAAAAAGGTTCAGTTAGGTGTGCCTGACATTTAAAGAATGTTCTTTGGTGCTTAGCAAAATGACAGCAAAGATTGAAATAAATGTTCCGGACAGCGTTCAGATAATTAAATTGTGAAAATGTCAAATAAATTAGGGTCATATAATCAAAGTTTAACGAGAAGTTCAAGTCAACGGTTTTCAGTATCAGTACTACCTGAAATGAATTGGAAAATGTACTTCTTGGCACTTCTTCCATGCCAAATGAAATATTTTCCACCACTTCTGTCATACTCTGGAAAGACTTAACTCCTGAGAAGGAGGAAAAGTTGTTTTCCTATTCCTCTCTCCTTCATCATTTTTTTGGATGAAGAACCTGTACCTCCTCCCACCATAAATGGAAGCAAACTGGGTTTAAACATTCAAAAAGTTATAAAGGTTTATTAAATGAATTCAGATTTGACAGATATTACATAAATTAAGCAGCAATAAAATTTTACTAGGGTTTATGTACAGATCACAGTGATTTTCATTGTGCAATGAGGGCTGACTTTGTAACTTTGAACAGTACTTATACATGTGAGCTACAACAAGCAACCAGCAACATACAACATTAGTCCAAGTTCACCTCGCAAATCTAGCGGTTCAAACTGGTTACGTACTACACAAATGCCTGCTATCACTACCACTACCTACTACACAACAGAGTATTTATAAAGCAGTTAGGTTTGCCATAGAAAAGTGCAAAACATGGAAAGTCTGTACACAGTACAGTACGAAAAGGAATCATGCTACAGTCATTGAAAGCTGAAAAATAACTCTATAGCATAGGAAGCACTGCATCACAACTCTTCTGAATGGCAAGCAGATGGGCTGAGGAACAGCCATATCTTAATTGCTTTCAAACCTGCAAAATCCCTGTTGATCTATTTAAACATAGTTCAGTACCTATATTTTGATCAATTAACAATGATTTTTTACAGTGGAAGATCACATTAGTTAAAGCTCAGTAGCACACATATTCATTGATCAAGCTAATTTACAGGAAAATCTACAGCATATTCTCCATTTAAATCATGAAGCATTTTTATTATTTGGTTACAAGGCCATTGAGTTTACAATGCACATTTATCACTTAAAACCTCAAATCGGGCAATTAAAAATATATATATATAAAACTCAAAAATAAAGATTGTTTTTTAATGTTTAACATTCTTGTTCGCCAAAGCAGAATATGAAAGGCCTATGGGCTCTTGCAAGAAAACAGTCCTTATGCAACAGTCTATATGCAAAAATATATGTTAACAGAAGCAACCATAATAAAATGAACTTCAGAATAGAGGAGGAAGGAAAAACAAAAGTATCCTAGCTTGCTTAAGAAAGAATAAAATAAATCCAGAGTCCTTAGAGCAGTGTGTATCTGGAAACATCTGCTTGAGCACTCAGACAGAACTATGTTCGTTAGTGGTCCATGAAGTCCTAGCAAAGACTTAAAATAAAACCAACTCACTTGTGCAAATAAATAAAATGGGCATGTAAAGTAACAGTTCAGTATGTTGAAGACTGTAGAGAAAATAACTGGTCATTTATAATAATGTTTCAAAAAGGTTTCTTGGATTTTAATTTAAAAAATTTTGAAGGTAGCTTTGTACTAGAAAGCATGTTGACGAGGTCAGTAGTTAGGTATAAGTACACATGGCTCTGGAAATAACGTGAAGTCCATGGATTAGTACTATAAAGATGACTGTATTCACCTCTTTAGTCTCTATCATAGTGAGTGCCAGTGCATCCACTGCCAGCAATGGGTATGTGAATGAGTAAGAATGGGTAAGAAAGAAAATCCACTATTTTCTGTTCAACCTTTCAAAACTTCTGACCACCAAAGTAGCAAATTAGTCAAATGCAACTTCAAGCTTCGTTTACTCAGCTCTGAAGACTTAAACACAGTGCAGTTTTTAAACTGGAAAGAAAAAAATAAAATCATGTTGTTTTTGTAGTACTTAGGATTCCAAAAAATACTGAAACTTGCACATTAAAAAATAAACTGTGCTTCCTCCCCCTTAGACAAAGTAAGCTCTTTTATGTACTTCAGTTTCTCTAACTGATTTGGAATAACTAACTCCATGGATACAAATAAAGAAGTCTAGACTTATTTTTCAAGAGAACGAGGTATTTTTACCACGTTAAAAAGATAATTTTCCATGGATTTTCTCCTTCTTATATATTCCTACATAGTTTTCACTAATTTTCAGCTGGGGCAATCAATTTGCAGCACTTTTTAATATCTGTAATAATCCAGAACTACCTCTTTGAAGAAGCGTAACTTCATTACATATTGTATTTCTGCAAAAAGTCATACACAGTCTCTAAGAATTAATTTGTTTTATAAAGATAGAGATCTAATAAACTAGAAATGGCAAGCTTTCAAAGTACATTTACTATTTTACTACATTTCTATATTGTTTAGAGCTAAACAAAAGAGAATTGAAGTAATTTTTCCATCAGGAGAGATCAGCTGTAGATCTGTCATAAATTTATAAAGATAGTAATTTAATATGCAATTACTAGAATGCCTGTATAGTAAGCACACATAATTTAGTTCAGAAAAATGAATCTCTGGCCTCCATTTTTATGGCATTTTATATTAATAAAAATGTGGAGAATTCTTTGTAGGGAAAACAGTCTGTAAGATCTACAGAGACAGTTTTATGTACAGCCATCAGTCATAGTGGTACAACTTCAATAAGCTGATGTGCTTCTGAAACAAACAAAAACTTTTGATCTAAATATGACTTCCCTAAAAGTTATCTAAAACCAAAAAAGTATTTACTTTTTGAAATCAAAGCACTCAGTTTCCCTTGTATTAAAACAAATATCACAATATGAAACATGAAAAAGACTAAAACAATCCTGAATTGTACACAATCTACTCTTGTGTTTATGTGTACTCATATACGAGAGAAATACATATGCACACACAGATACTTGGTGCTACTTAAAATGAAACAGTATTGCAAATACTTCCTAAATTCAGTGTATTTAAGATGTCAGAAAGCTGTTATACAGTTTAAAAGAAATTCCTCAGATCTAAGGCTTGAACACTTACATATAGAATTCCTGGCAGTGGAGACTTTAGGCTATTTCCAAAAGCAGGAGCAGAAAAATCAGGCTCTAACATATATTTAGTGTTCCCTCTGATAATTAGAAGTGCCAAATATTCAACAACAACTATGCCAATAATGAAGAAAGTCTGTTATGGCTCATGCTTTAAATTTAGAGAAGATAGCAAGCTTAAGAGAGAGAACAACTCCTGTAAGAGCCAGTTATAGCCCTTATACCAGTATGCACTGAACTGAATGTTTACAGAGAGTTGTCACAAGAGGAATCACATTTCAGACAGCACGTCATCACTCAATATCCTGGTTTGTAGAGACATCAGTGTAACAGAATTTCATAAATTAACCATTAAGATGTATCTTAATCAACAATAAAACATGCCCTTGTCTTTCCGCTTTCAAGTACTATGGTTGCAAGTATGAGGCATTGGAAATTTTAGGTACAAATCTTATTTAAAACTTAATTATTTTTTATTTTTACAAAGAATTATAAAATGTATATAAGATGATGAAAAACTCATTTATCCTTTTAAGATTTTTATCCCTAGAGAACTTCTTGAAAAACATTATTTGAAAAATAAAAATCATAGACTCTGCAAAGTACAAAAATTTACATCTTTGCACAGTTCCTGTGCTTTAGTTGTATTGTATTCATTATATACATATATACTAATTTGTGCTTTTAATTACACAAGTTTAGTATAAACTTATAAAATTAAATCTATGAGTTAATTATGCAAAAAGGATCTGGGAATAGCAGGAAACTTAACTAAACCATAAGTTAAAAAAAAAAATACTAAAATATTTCACTTTACTCAAGTCTACTTTGGAGTAGACTGTCAGCATTACAATTTACTAAACCAATGCCAAATGTTTTCAGCTAAAACTGATTCTTGCCTGCCTCCAACTCCTTAGATATTCATTATATTCTCATTTGCATATCTGAATGCAGTATAATTCTCATCCACAAGGAGAATCTTCATTTATGTATTAATATAATTTTTTCTTCAGACTTGCTCTTCACTTCACTTTCTTTCCAGTTTCTAGGACAAAAAAACAATGAAAAAAAGAATTAAAAACACAATGCAGAACATATGAATTCAATGTCAGTTTTCAGTCTTTCACAGTTCTAAAACATAATTCAAAGTATAGAATGAAATTGACAATCCTGTTCCTCGAACTAAAGCATTTACTCTTAATACAAAAACCTTGGAATTAAGAAATGAATGTTATTATTTGTCAAATCAATCTACGTATTTGCTTTTCACACTCAATTTAAAAAGTTAAGATTGAAAGATTAAAATATGCTTGGATAGGAATCACTATAGAACAAAGTCTGTAGCATACCTCTATCATTCAGTAAGCCTGCTTTAAAATATATTATTTCAATTTTACTTTATACCATATATTGCTGTGGCCAATTCATGTTGGTTTCAAGACCTGTATGGAAGAATTAATCACTGTTATGAATCAGAAGACATAGTTTCTGCACAAGGCTCTCACTCACCGACCTGCAATATTTTGAAGAGGATTCCTGGCCTGTAAACATACCTTATCCATTGTAGATGCTGCATTCAGAAGTTCTTGAAAATTTCTAGATCTTTAGGGGGTACTGGAGGCATTTTGTTCCAGTCATCTTCAGGATAAGCTTCAAAATTGGAAGTATCTCCATCATTGGATACTTTCGGCACAATAGGAGGCTAATGAGCATAAGTACAAAAAAAAGTTAGTATGCATTTACAGAAGTTCACCTATTTCACCAATACTGACTGATGTTGAGAGAGAAAAGACTACGGCAACACATACATGTTCCAAAGCTTTGTATGAAGTTAAAAAAAAAACACACTTATAACGCAGATATCTATTTGTTTAGCATTCGAGCTCCAGATACTTTGCAAATTGAAGTTAATTACTGCACAAGATTATTTCAGTTAAGCTTCCAGGTATGTTCTGTTATGGGGTACTCTGCAATTCCCCTCATCTTTCACTTTTCAGCCAACTGGCAAGAAGAAGCATAATCATCATCAGATCCCTTTCAACTAAGATAAAGTCACGATAGCAGGGCAGGTAATTGCTTTGTAATTGAAGGAAAAGAAACCTTCAGCTTTCAAAACAGATTGGCTGCATGTGAAGAGGCTGAAAAGACCAACTTGTATGTGCCTCACACTATCTACTACACCTTTTTCTAGGCAGCAAATAATGAAACTGCTGCACTGTAAAAAACTGATTTTCACAAGGATGCCTGTAAAATTATCTTAACACAAATGGATCTTTGGATTTTATGGAAGTTGGAAGTCCAATGGAGAAGTAATTGTTTTCTACCTCTTTCCTGAGAAGATTCTTTGGATTTACAGTTTACAGTTTTTCTTTTTTTTCCTATTTTCTGTTTAGTGCTGAGATTACTCTGCCTTCTGGACACAGGAATGTGAGAAACCTTCTTTCTGAAACACTTAATCAATTACAGGTAGAAAAAACATTTCTTTACTCAAGTGACCTTCATTCCTATCCCCTTCTTAGTGGTATAGAGACCTTAAGTATCAGCATACCAAACATACTGCTCTAGTTTAAGAAAACCTGAAGGACACCAAATAGGCCAAAGAAACTTACAGCACAAAAAGAACTACGAAGCGCAATGTTATCCTCCATTTCCTGATAAAAGCTTCCATTGGCTCTGAGATCTAATTTGAAATTTTAAGCTTTGAAAAACGATGTTAGCAAGTTTCCAGCTGGAAGGAAAAGTCCTTACAGACAGTACTTCCACACTTCAGTCAAAAACAAAGCCTTGTTTGGCAATATGGCAGCCACAGAATACTGCACAGATTCTTATGAAGATGGGCACAATCTACTTTGCTCCAGAAGCTCAGCTTCTGTGATTTATGTTTAATGCAGAGTCCAGAGAGCTGTGTGCAGGGGACACAGGTATGTAGGACAGCTCCCCAGGTCACAGTCTTTCATAATCTCAATCCTCCAATGTTCCCAAACTGCAAAAACAACTGGAAAATGTACTTTCAAAACTTCCTATGCAGTGACAGCTACCCAAACTGACTGAAGATTGCCAAAATGCTACAGCTAAAGTCAAGGGAAGATGTAGCCTGGCCCAAAGCCTGCTTTATCTTGATCTTGCTTTCAAAATGTCAAAGAGCCTCAAGGCCCATGGAAAATTGGTCTTCAAGAAAAATCAGAGCTATATGCTCCATGAGACGGAATGCCTGATAGCCCTGCTTCCCTGGAAGCAAACTATCAGGGAAACTAGTTTTGTTAAGTAATATGGAGGCAGAGAGGAATTCACATTAACAAAATTATGTTCTCTCTCCCAGCACTTAATGTTATTTGCAAAATATTGGCATTTAAGATCATTTCAGGACTGTGATTTAGTGCTCCACTTGTACAACAGAACAACTCTTTTTAGAGGAAAAATGCATGTATTATGTCATGTTTTCCATCTCTTCATCAGTAGATAAAAGACTAAGATTATCAAAATAGTTATTTTTAGAAGCAGAATCACAAAGCAAATTTCTGACCCAGTTTATGACTTTGCTTTGAAGAATAATTAAGTAGGATCTCATCCTCATCTTCTAAAGTTCAATGCAATTATCACTAAGAATAAGAAACAAAATTTCAAATTCATCACCTGAATGCCAGTGAGTTTTTTTAAATTATAATGCTGCATAAAGGGTGCTTGGATCTGAGACTAACATTCACTTTTTTAATACTATTTGCTATTTGTTTAGTAATAAAAATCATTGTAAACCAGAGTTGAAATTTCTATTACAATGTTATATTCCCATCTGTGATTTCTGCGTGATCAGAATTTATGGTAGGTAATATGAAAAATGTGCCTTTGTTGTAACACGTGTAGATAAATCGTCAATAAGGTGTTGTAATCCCAACATCAAATAGAGAAAAAAATTGCCTACAGCATAACATTAGGATGTTGTTTACAAAAATACCTCATGAGTGTTTTCACTTCTTATCTATTTTCCCCAAATTATCTAGTTAGAAATTCATTGTAAAAAGCCGTGCAAATAAAAGTAAATCCAAACATCTAATTAGTACTTGACTGACTGCAGACAGCTATCTATGTTATTGAAAATCACTTCTGTGAGAAATTGTTCCAGTTAGAACTTTGAGGAAAGAAAGGTTTACTTCCAAAGTTCTTTAAAAAGCATTTTACAGTGTTGATAGCTTTTGCAAACATCTGTCCTCATCATATAATACTAGAATTCAGTGCTGTTAAAACTTATGTTAGAATTACGTTCATAAATCCTTCTCTCTCACCTTTCCTCTTCTTCCTACTCCCATATGCTTTACATTTTATTAAAGCATTTACCTGAGTTGAACTTGGCAGAAAAAAATTTAAGCCCAGAGAAAATATTCCCACAAATACAAGATGCAAACAAAGGTAATCCCACATCAACACTCTTTCAATCCTACAACAGTAGTTACTTACAAAGACCTATTAATGAAAACTGAAGCTTATAGTATGTAATGTTAATCACCAGACTCCAGCAAAACAAAGCAAGCTTTTTTAAGTTGACTGTTCATAAGTGTATTGCACACAATATGTGAACAGACATTCAAATAAATTAAATTTGCAGTGCAAAAGGGGAAAAAAAAAAGTATAATTATTGATGGATACAAACACTCAGATACTCATACACACATGAAGACATACACACACTGCAAAAAAGTTTCAACAGAACAGTTCAAATGAACAATAACTTCTCATTGGCATGTCCTATACAGTGTTTTTCAGAAGGCACCTTTAGTCTCCTTTGAGGTACAGCATCCCAGTCTATAGACCTGAACCATCGATGCCTCTTCACATCATCTGCTCCATTCTTTAAAAAACAAACAAAACATTTAATAAATGCATATGAATGCTAAGACATGTATTTCACCATAAGAACTATGCCATAAAAAAAACCTGGTGGTTTATTTAACCTTGTATCATTTTTTCAGGAGATAATCAATAAAAGATTCTACAGGATAAATTTACAGGTTTTATTTCCCTAGCAGATCCTCAGCTCCAGCAATACAGTCCAATTTATTTATTTATTTTTAGCATTTTTCTTACACAAGGGAGATGAAAATTAAACTTAAAATATCCGCAATGCCATTCGCTGTAGTTTTATTTAATTCAGTTTACTTTGGAGCTTCAAAGAACGACTCTTATTCAAATCTGCTTCCTAATTCTCACACTAATAAAAAAATTAATTGTGGGTTGGTGGAGTGTAAAGTAGAAGACAATACTAGGAAATACTTTTATCAAATGTTACAGATGTTTAGTACTGACAACAAGAAGTCCTAAATACTGTTATAAAAATATTTATATATATAAAACCATTTATTTTTTCATTTCAGTGTTTTGTAGTGATTACTTTGGTTTCAATTATGTACATTAAGGAAAAAAACTTTTTTTTTTTTTTTTTTTTAAACTTTTGAGAAGAGGCGGATAACAATATGAGTACAACTTCCAGAAATACAGAGGTGAACTTTTCATTTAGAACTGTACAACAGAAGTCATATTTGGAAACATTTAACTCAAACTCATGCTTATAAAACTAAAAACTACTTGTAAGTCTTTTATTTAGAATTCTTTCACCTTGGTGCATTACATCTAACATTTTATACTGACCTTCATATTTCCTAATCGCCTTGTCCTGTCAACCACAAGTAGCTTCTTAATAAGGTCTCTGCAATAAAGAATATGTGTTCTCTGTTCAACAGAAGCAATATATATTTGATTGCCATACAAATGCTGTAGAATAAGAAAATACATCACTTCGGCTAGTTAATACTGTGTATTATTTATCCATTCATTCATTTTGTATTTCAGGAGAGTTAAGAGTCATTATCTTCTGTTCTCTTCTTTCCTTCTCCCCAAGTAGTACTATCTTTGCATTGTTGTACTTTCCTGGGCATTCTGAATATCAAAATTGATCTCAAATCTATTTAGCAGAACACATACATATATACATACATATATACATATACACATACACATATATAAAGTCACACCCTCAACTTCATACATTCAAATTTAAATTCTGTGAGAGCTAAATATTTGGGGAAACCATGGAAGAACTACTCATCTTTATAGAACTAGTAAGACCTGCAAGCTTTCATTTCAATGAAAATGAAAACCTTCCTTTGTGATTCTACATCACTGAGCAACTCTACATAAATCTACATCGACATTCTAAAAGATGAAAATACATTCAGAGACACAAAGGATTTGTGTTTTAAGTGCTTTCTAAGTGCCAAACAACATAAAACTAAATGAGCATAATTTATCAAGTTCAGTTGATTACTTACGAGTTGGGAGAAAATCTGTCTTCATATATTTGAAGCAGTTAATTTGTATCTCAATTATTACTGTGCTACATATCATTCTTCTTTCACAAACTTCCAATGAAAGGTAAGAACAACTGAGCCATCTCTCTTGTTTCTACAGCCTCAACAGACTTGAAAGTTCCAATATTGCATGAAATGCAAAAGATCTAGAGAATATGGCCAATTTAGACTTTTTAACCTTGCAGAAATTTAAGCAAGCTGATTTACAGGCATAGCATACCTGTCTCTTTCTACCCTTGGTTCAAACACCTACTATTCCAAAACAAAAACAATATTGTGTCAAGTATCCTAGGAATCACAGAAGTGTACACACAAAGAATACATGAACTCACAAGTGAATGTTTCAAAAGCTGTTGTATTTGGCAGGTTTCAGTTCTAAAACTAAACTGGAAAAATATTCAACTGCCAGATAAAAGGAGAATAAAGAAGGCAGAAATCACTTTTTAAACTCTCATGATAGTTTCAGACAGTCGTTGTTTGGATTATATTAAATAAATCAATTGACTCCCTTTACAGTGACCTTCAGTGAAATACTTCCTTCCAGTTCTTCATAGAGAAGCCTATATAAGTGGCTATAAACAATCTTTTCAGGTGAGTAGAACTGAAAAGAAATCCAGAAAACCAAAATGAGAGACATACAACAACCAAAGTGAAATCATGGCGTTTGTTCTTCCAGTATAACTAGAAAACATTCAAAAGATCATTATTTGTTAGCTTCAAAAACTGATATTAGAAAAGCATAGTGAAACTCAGTGATGTGTATTGTCAAAAAAAAAAGAATGCTGCATTCAATAGAACCTAGAATAATGCCTATTAATTTGAGTGCTTCTTTACTTTGTAGTTTCTCAAGAAAAATTTAGAAATCATCACGTTAGAATCTGTTGATATACTGCTGTATGTACATGCAGAATGAGATTTTACATCAAGACCTTTCCAGATTCCTGGAGCACCGATGTTTCATTTGATATTTTCCAACACTGTCTTTGCAAGAAAAGTTTACAAAAACAGAAGAAAAGTTTTCCTGCATAAGAGCAAAGACTTATAATTCAATTGTTACAAACACCGTATAACATCAATACTTTGATGGATGTGTCAGATAGGACACGATACTTCTCTTTCTTTCTGAGATACCAACTGCTAGGAAGACGATAATGAAAGCAAAAGGGTTATAAGTAAGAAAGCAGACTGTCTTACTAGAACAAAACAATCTTAGCAAGTGCTTTAAGAAAATGGTGCAAAGATGTGAGACTACCTATTCTTCATATTATGATTTAAAATAAGGGAAGTTGCTGCAACGAGACATAAATTATGCTAACAACTTGGTGCAGGAAAGCAGGTGAAGTCAATGGATGAGATCACTCAAAACCAAAGTGTGAAAGGGAGAAAGTCCAAACCAGAATCCCACAAGACCCCTTAAAGGCAGGAATGTAATGAGAATGAACTGCCAAGCACAAGCTGAAAGAACATCTGGATAACAAAAACTGGCAAAGAGGTGTATCAGCAAGTGTGCTGATTAATGTATCCTGCAATTCATGTCTAGACTGAAGAGCAAAACCTGCATTTACATGCTTAATAACATAACTAGGAAACTTACAGCATCAGGTGTCTTCTGGACAGTAGAGGTAAATGCTTGTCTGTCAACATTAAATACAAGCACAAACTAACAACACCTCTACTTTCAAATGCCTTCAAGCGCTGCTAGATACTCTATGCTAACAACCTACCCAAATACCCTAAATTTGAGCTGTTCAGCTCTGGTCATGCTTTTATACTTTAATGCACATAGTATGCACGCTAAAAATGCACACTATCTTTCCTAAAATAGACTGGATTAGGAAGACTGGAGGAGACTACCCTAGTTAGAAACCAATTCAAGATAGTGAGGAAACACTCTTAAGAATAGACACGAATCAGAGACACTAATGAGTATAACCTGACATAGTCAGATTTGATTCAGTGAACCTGATGATTCAGAGAAGGCTTAAAAAATTTCTCCCCAAACTAATAACTTTGCAGGAGAATTCATGAATGTTCAGATAAAGTTGGAAAGATTTTGTTATATTTGACATACAGTGTTTTATCTATCAAACTAGCGTTGACATTAAACACATGCCATTTCTACATGTCACTTCAAAATACCTCGAAAGGTTAACCTAGGTATGTAAGAATAACTTCCTGCCCTCACTCATGCAATCATCTCTTCATCTGAATAGAGGCACCTATGTTTACAATTACACTTTAGAACTTCTAAAATTTACTAGCAATTATTTCAGTGACAGAACTTTCAATGAAGGAATTCTGGAATAGGAGAAAGAAGCATTTATCTGCTACCCACCTGTAATGATTGAAAAATATTGTGAATAGAAAACAACGCATATTTAAGATTGCACATTGAACTGGGACTCCACTATCTGAAGAGCCATTTTACTCTGGACTTCAGAAGTATCAGAGTTCATGTAGTTATGCCAAGAGTGATTTAAGTGGTACTTACACAAAGGAACAGTACGGTGTCCTCTTAATTTTTATTCATGCTACAGTATCTCCTCATAGTTCTCTTTTCTTCCTCTCCCACACCATGCTAGCACCACTACGCTTTGTACAATGCAGGAAAGCATTTAATATTCCAATACATGCAGAGAAGTATGAGAGGCAGATAGTATATAACAACTGTATCACCTGCCTGAAGTCTATCACACATACAATTCTGAGTGCAAAAGTAAAGGCAATCTAAAATATTTTCCAACTTAGTGTTTTAGAAAATCACAATCATCTATGAAGATCCTTTCAAAAAGAATGCTCAGAAGGAAATTAGAATATAAAAGACATGGTTGGGAGTCATAGACTTACTTTACATATAAATCCAAATGCCGTGGGAAATCGATTTTGCCAGCAAGAATCTTCTGGTATATACCAAATGGATTGTCATCAAAAAATGGAGGAAACCTATTTTAACACAACAAATGTATATAGGTTAGGGAAAAAAAAAAAAGAAAATAAGAATCTTGCAAATATTATGATGTTATAGTAATCTCCCCAAACTGATTAGATTGTTCTTTTTGGTAGGACATCAACAATCAAATACTAACTTGGTAAATGAATTACCAAGCCATATTGAGGCCGCCATTGCAAAAAAATTTGTCCTGTAACCACTGACTAGTTTCCATCCAGACTGTCAAAGGCCCTACATACAAACAAGGTAGTTCAGTTCAGTTATTTACTGTACTTCTTTAGTTTAAGTACAGGCTTTGTTAGACAAGGTCTGAAGGAGACAAGTTGTTCAGACTGTTCAGAACCCAAGTCTCTTAAAGAGCAGCTCTCTTTTCTGCATTGGGAAAGATAAAGCATTGATTTAATCTCTCCAAGATGATGAGAAAATCAAGATACAATTAAAATTCTACACTTATTTTCTATAGAATTCTCCATAAAGTTGTGAGCTATCAGAGAGACTGCTTCCAGTCTGACATCCACGGTAAGATTTGAGAAAATTTTCTGCTGTGCTTCCCTTACCAATATATGACAGACCCTAATTAATGCAAGAGGCTCAGAGCGTACGTACTTCCGTACAACAGGCAAATTCAGCTTTGACCAAGCGCCAAGAGGTTTTCATAGTCATCATTTTAGAAATTACCACAGGAAATATTTTAGGGGAATGGAATAACTATTCATTCACTAATCTTTCCCACCTTGACTTCTGTAACACAGCACTGCTCTTATGCTTCTACCTCAAATCCTTTACAAAACAGAAACTGGATATAATTAATACAGATAGTATTCAAAATCTCAAATACTGTTACAACAGCCTCAACACTTAAAATGTTTTCACATTTTCTTAACACTGTGTAATTATTTTCTAAAAGACTTAAACTGCAGGCATGTGTACACAATACAAATACAGTGCTGGTGGTTTTAGAAGTCACTGGTAGCAGAAACAAGGGCAAGAACATTTCTTCATCTCAAGTTCTTCCCTTAATTTTACATTACTCAAAGCAGATTATTCCCTAACAAGTACCATACTTTATTTCCTCCATGTAAATATTTTCAGAAGTACTAAATGCTTATTTAGCTGATGGTGAAGTGGGTTAGCATTTCCTTTTCAATGCTCTAAAATTCAGACACAGACATAACCAAATTCTTCCCAATATGACTAAGATATGTCTTTAATCTTTTTTTTTTTTTTTTAAGGGAAGAAAAGTTATAATTTTCTGAGCTTTGAACTATGACCAAACTATTTGTTATTATTATGAAAAACTGAATATTCTCACTATTGAAACTGGAGAACATACAGATATCAGGAAAAATATTTACATTCTTATGAATTACTGATTTGATAGAAAAGAAGAAAAGTGGACGTATTTAAAACATGTAACATTTCTGCAAACCAGACACTACTGTAGATCATATAAACGTTTTTTTTATTCCACTTGTGTAATGTCCTTCACATTCTCCAAAGCAAAACAACAAACGTATATAGTGTATTAATGAATTATAAGGCAATTAGAATTAAACCTTTGAACTGCTCAGCATGAAGGTGCCTGTTGCAGTAAACAGATTGATATGTAATATAGGATTTTTTTTTCCTCCATCTCCAAAAGTTCTATATGCTGCTGAGGTGTTGAGTCAAGAAGAATAAGGAACTTGTATATGTTTCTATGTATCTGTGCACGTTAAGTTTGCTTTGTGCTGTCCTAATTTGAAAATTCTATATTACTATGTTACCTTTCAATTATTTTTTTAAATTACGTTTGGCTATATAAAAATTTAATGTCAGTGTTGCTTAAAGTGTATTTGAACTGTATCGCAATATGAGGTGAAAACTTTTCTTACTCAAAAAACAAATAACTTGACTAATAACTTGATGCTACATGTAACTGGTCGATCTGCAACACATAGCATGGAATTTTAACACAACAGCACAATTACTGTGCTGGAAGCTACCTTATAAATCAACAAAAAACCCCTTGAGCTTCAAACCATCTTCACACCACAGAGCAAATATAAACAGCTGCCTTTTTTCCACCAACTGAAAAAAGACTAAAAATTCTCTGTATATAAGACAACAGCTGCAAACCATTCCTTTTGCTAACTGATGCGTAACAATGGCACTGACATTGGTCTCAAAAATAACAGATCGTTTTAGCACTGAAGAAGAGGTGTTGCAAAATGTCAAGGGAAAAGCAAGTCTGACATAAACTATAGGCAGCAATCACTATCTACCTATAAATGATAGACCAAGTATGAAAGGGTCTGTTGTGATAGGACAAAAGAAAACGGCCTCAAACTAAAAGAGGGGAGATGTAGACTGGATATAAGGAATAGTTTTTTTTTTATGATAAGGAACAGGTTGCCCAGAGAGGTGGTGGACACCCCGTCCCTGGAGACATTCAAGGTCAGGTTGGACAAGGCTGTGAGCAGCCTCATCTAGCTGTGGTGTCCCTGTTCACTGCAGGAGAGTTGGAATAGGTGATTTTTAAAGATCGCTTCCAATTCAAATGATTGTATGATTCTGTCACGTTACTACCAGAACAGAACAACAAAAAAAACACATAGTTCTCATTAAATGAGGAAATTCAGTTAGTTATATTTCTGATGACAATCCTCTAACACGAGTAATACATTAAATAACAAGTCTATTTTTCTCTGTGGTAGATTGTAACAGAACATAGTCACTCAACATACATAAATCTCCTAACTTCTATTTTCTTCTATTGACACTTTATTTAGATTGTTCAGATTAACTCAAAAAAACTCTGGCATTAATAATCTTTCCCTGCTCTTTCTCCTCCCCATATTTTATTATCTCAAACCTAAACAGGACTTTGCCCTAAACCCAGAATGTGCAGAACCTGAATTCCATGGGCCACCAGGGACTGAGTTAGTGAAATAAGACACTGAAGAACAGGAAAGTGTGGTTTATTTTGTTTGTTTTTAGAGAGATCATTTCCTAACACACACATCTCTCTATTCTTTTCAATTGCTTTTGGGGTCCAGAGAGTAACTTCAGGAAATAAATACCAAATGTCACAAGTCATTTAATTGCACATAGTAACTTAGTCTTAAAGTCAATTTTTGCTCACTTTCAAATAACTGGCCTGCTTCTTAAGTCTTTGTTGAATTTTAAGGGGTTAAAAGACAAAACAAAACCTCTTATGGCTGTTTCTTGCATTAAGAGCCTTGACAGTAAGTATCAAGCCATATCTTGAGCTGATGAGGGAAAGTGCTTTAAAACATTGCTACTGCCAGCAACAGTGAAAAGCTGATAAAATGCTAAAGGCATTTAATCTGTGTGGTAACATTTCCTTTTAAATAAAAGATGGACAACACAGTCTCTGCTACCCTCAGCCCCTTGTCCACAAACCTCAGAATTTTAAAACAACAAGATGTGGACTGAGACTCCAAACTGAAGAAACAAAGCATATATACATTGTTATGGAGAGCATTTAAACACAAATATTTTTATTAAATCAGAAATATTGTAGTAAAAGAAAGACTGTTACAAAACCACTTGCAGACAGCAGCTGCTCTGTCAATCAGCCAACACAAGACCTCAGCTGTCTTTTAGAAAATGCATCATTTATCTCTATTAGTTAAGAGTCTCAATAGCTGAAACGTTCCTATTAAGCTTGAGGGAACCAAGACCTCTTCACACAGTGTCAAGTCACAGAAAATCCTACAGCTAGAAATGACTTCAGCTGCTCCCATTATGTTAAATATGTACCCACTATATTTCAGCAGAACATGCAACAGTCATAGTTCAGTGTTCTTAAGTCTTGAGATCTCACTGACTCCACAGATGAGATCTTGCTTGAATATCACCTGCACTCAGTACATTAGCCTTGGAAACCATTTCTGCTACTATGCTACCTGAGTTATGGAAAAAAAAGGGAAACTGCCAGATTTGCATTTTCACTGGGAGTAGGTAGGCAGAACAGAAAAGTTGGTATTCAGAGGTCCCCCACCAAATCCTATGGAAGGAAGTTAAACCACTTAGACAACCATTGGGAGATTGTAACATCTGAGCTAATGTTATTACCCCAGACACTTTTATCCTCAATGCTGTCTAAGACTAAGATTAGCAGCAAAATGGCTGCTGGGAATCTTGCTTCTTTCATTCATCCCTCTGCGAAGCAAGAAGAGAATCCCACGCATACAGGTAGCTATGGAACAAAGGTGAAGCCTGACCTCTACACAGATCAGCCTATATAAAATACTTTTTGTTAGATGAGTCAGCCAACCTTGCCTGTGTCAGTAGGAAACTCCTAGTACATTTCTATGCTTTTTCTGCCTTGAGATTCACAGCAAATGCATATTCAGATCTTCAGGACTTTAAAATACCAAGCAGAGGGCTGTAGCATTGTCCTCGGACACAATTTGGATAGCATGAGTGGCTCATTCACATCAAACATTTGCTGTACACTGAAGCTCTGAAGCGATGAGCCACTGACAGTCTGCTCATGCAATCAATTTTTTTGTTCAAGCATCACAGCCCTGAACTGATGGCATGTCACAGAAAAGGAAGATCAAATCCAAGGAAGGAAGTTTTTGTTCTCACTTTTCTCTATGGGGCTGAAGATTCAGAACGAAAGGCCATAATGACAACCTGATGCATGCTCAGTCTGTGAGAAGGCATTGAGCACACTGGGACTGATATTCTAGAAGTTGTTCTAACAAACACTTATTGAAATACACTGTTTCTTTGGAAGCTATGAAAACATAGCTTTCATCTGTACTTACTCTATAGCAGCAACAATGACAAACCTGTTTTAAAAATTTAAAAAAAATATTAAAAAACAAGGAAAAGCATATGGATGCCTTGTTTAGGAACATGCACAATTTCACTTTCTCTCTAACCCTGTTACTTATTTTACTGAAAATACACATATATACTTTTTAAATCAGAGCAAAGTCAGGCAATTGCTTTTATCTACCTAATACTTAGAGTGAGAAGCAATTATTTATATTAATGCTGAAAAAATCTAATTTCCATTTTTATCTTCTGTGAAAAAAGAAATTTTGAGAAATTTCAAAACATCAGAAATAACATTTGAGAAAAATGATTATCAAATAGACTGTTCAACCTTTTCCCCATTGTTTTTCTTAAAACCAAAGCTCAATACTAACACAAACTGCACTAACGTGTCTTCCTGCTTTCCATCTATCTATTAACAGACTGCAGTTCCCACTGCAATTGTTGTTTTGCTATGCTAGAAACTGGTTACAGAAGTTTCAAAGAAAAACAGTATTCACCGTCTTCATCTTTTTATGGTCTTGCATATAAAAACGTCAACTTAACAGAACTCTTGTCAGAAGAGATTAGGAAAAAAACAGCTACTAAACAAATGTACTTAAGATACCTAAAAGGAATTACCTAAAAAAAGTAATTTCCTCTCCCCACAAATACCCTGCCAATAATGGTAGTATCCTGTTTGTTTGTTTTTAATGTAGCACTGTAATTCTTGTCTTCAAAGACAAAAAAAAATGAAAACTGATAATGTTATTAACAAATTTAACCCAAATTTGATCTTAAGAGGATCACAAACAGAACTAGTAAAGAATCATAACCTTACCTCTGACATAGTATTACTGTGATATATTAATCACTATCACTTACCCTGACAACATCTCAAATATAAGAATTCCCAGGGCCCACCAATCCACAGCCCTCCCATGACCTTTGCTTTGAATGACTTCTGGTGCAAGGTATTCAGGAGTGCCACAAAGCGTCCACGTTCTGGGAGGAAAACAGAAAACATAGAATACAATAATAAAATTACACCAAATTGGAACTAAAATTACAGTTAAAACAAAAACAAAAACAAGCAGGAAACGTTCAAGATATGTCTACATTACTTATAATATATAGGATTAAAGGAAAAAGCAAGACCTCTACAGATTTCAGAAGACTGCTGTAACATGATCCAGTTCACTTGGCGTATAAAGAAAAATATAGAAATTAAGAAACTGCTTGGCTGCAAGAGACACCAACCTCCTGGCTGCTAGCATGGCACTATACCCATTAGCCTATATGTTGCTTTGAGATCATTAACAGTAGTTTTCACCCTGTAAGCTGCAGATATTTGACAGGCCCAGCAGTGGCAACAGCAACGTGAAAGACAACTCATATTCCAGATGGCCATGCAGATTTTAACAAGCGTGGCATGCAGGCTGTTGTTCATCGCTGGCAAAAATGCATAGCTAATGGTGGTGACTATGGTGAAATCTATTGTTCTGAGAATTTGTTCTATCAAATAGTGCTACTGTGCTCTTCATAGTTATTGTAATTTCCATGGAAATAAATAGGAAGCATTATTTTATGCATAACTTTAATTTGTACAAACACTTGTGCAGAATTTGCCTGGCTTCACAACGCAACTTATTTTTAAACACAGTCTATAGAAAAAAAGAAACTCTGATTGTCTTATTTCTAAATGCAATATGATTTTTCTCCAAGGAAAACAATGAAACTGGTAATGAATGCATTAATATGAACAGCAATCACCTTTAAAAAGCAAAATACACATCTTTCATCTTTCTGTTTTTCTTCTCCTTCCATTTTTCTACTCAATTTAAACCACCTTCTTCACAATCATAAGGAAATGTTCAAAATTTTTATTGCGACATCTCAGACTATCAACATTTTCAGTTTATCTTTTGTTTTTTAGAAGGTTAAATAAAATGTTTTTCTAAGATTGCAGAACTTTAATTGGAGCTTTAAAAAAAAATATATATATATTCCTAAAATATTAAGAATTAAGATTAGACAAGCTGTATAGCCAGTCATAATTTTCAAAAATTCAAGATGCAAGGAGTTGAATTTCTTTAGGCCTAATTTTAAAACAGCAAATGCAAATTACTCTACAGCTAAATTAAGCATGTTATTGATATATTGTGCATCTATTGAAGCCACATTCATTGGTGTAAGTGTAAATCTTCAGTTTTTAATGACAAATGGATGGCATAATTTAAATTGATGGAAAATATAAACTGACTTTCCAAATGAGTCGCATTCAATAAAATTCCTGCATGCAGCACTATTTACACACTGCTGCCATCTAGCAGTTGCCAAGATAATGCCTACCGTCTAAAAAAAAGAAAAATTAGGACCCGCTCTCCTCCTAAAATTTAAGACACTGTATTACAATCCAGTATACAAACTTTTATTTATGCCGATTTAGCCCATCCTGCAAGTAAACAACTGCCAGCAATTGGTGTCTTCATCAAGTTGTGTATTTGTACCACATGATCATGACTTATGTACTCTCTTGTTGGTCAAGTAACAAACTATTTTGTATTTTGGAAAATGCATGAAGTATTATTTTGATTATTATGCAGGCTGCTTTGAAAGTAATGCCTCCTATTTATTTTTATGAGAACTACAATCAAAACAAAAAGTACAATAACACTATTTGACAAAGCAAATCATCAGCTACAAAACACTACTTTTCAACAAAGTCACCACCATTTTCTCTGCATTTTTGCCAGTGATGAATTTGAGCCTGCATGTTGTGCTCATATAAGTCTGCATCAGCGGAGGTGACCCACTATTGCTGGTGCCACTGCTGGAATGCAGCACCCACTGCTTCTCTATCCATTCATCTACAGTTTGGTCCCCACTGACATTCAGCAAAAGCTGAAGAACGTGAATGGGTGCTATTTTTTTTCTGCATGGAGGAATTCTGTTCCAACCTTTACTTCATCTACATCTCCACGTCAGATGCCATTTGGACAGAGTACCCTCTACTGCCATCTTTCATGTGGTAATGAAATGTAACAGAATGTTGGTGGGAAAGTTCAACCTCTAGCGCCATATAACCAACATTTATCTCTGACACCATGGGTCAACATAATAACATAGGAGGCGTTACTTTTGGAGCAGCACTTGTAGTATTTCATCTGAGCCTTTAGATGCCATCCTTTTGGACAAAAATTATAAAACATAAAAATAAGAATGGACCAGATCCTTCCAATTGCTTCAAAATTTTCACTGCTATGGATTTGCAAGGTAAGAGCTAACAAGCAGGTAATCAATAATTAATAACACTGAACATGTGATTTTAAAATCAGGAAATCAAACTAAATATATGCTTGTAACAAAGATAAGCTATCAAATAACATCTGTCAGACTCGTTAACACTGTCATTTGAAGAAGCTGGTTACTATAGTGAAGTGTTCCACACTATTTAGCCTCCATCTCTGTTGTCCTTGCCAAGCTTCTCACACAGGACCCAGAAATAACTAACATCCTTTTTCGTGTTGTCTTCTGGAAGTTTCTCCATAATTAAATTCAATGGAGATGGCTTTGTTTCCAGCCCTCAAAAGTTTGTTCTGCAGAATATTCTTGCTTCTACAGTGACACACAAGACAATTACATAAGAACAAGACTTGCTGCATCTTGCCTTTTGTTTTCTCTGTTTCAAGGCCATTATGAAGAACTGCTGTGAGAATGAACCACTTTAAGGAAGAGTGAAGAAGTGTATCAAAATGCTTTAAACTTAACCACTTAAGTTATTACTGTGTTGTTTTTTTTAATTATTATTTTAATGGGATTTATGCTGAGGAATATAAAATTAACAGTGAACAACATTCCATTAAAAACAAACATGGAAAACATTATTTAACTTGAAAATTTCAGAAAACTAAGTAAAATATGTGCATAAAAATGTAAAATTGTGAACTCTACTTTTGTACATTCCTCTGAAATATCACATAAAAAATTGTGGGAACATCAGAAATATGTTTACTTTCTGTATTATTCCTGAGTAGTGATATGTCCTTTCCATAAAAAGAAATGTCTATAATTATAACAACTATAAAGTTCAAAGCAAATCTTTCCTATACTCTAAAAATAACAGTGTTTTATTCTGCCCCACAGTTGTTTTCTTTTTGAACTGTAGAAAGAAAACTTTACTTCCTCATGCACCATAATGGGAAGAGAGAAGTATGTGTCCAGAAAACCTCAAATTAAGTACTACAGAATCATTTATGTGAAGTAATATGCATCAAGAACATGTAACTATTCAGGCTTTGTGCAGACAACAATTTATGTTATAATTTATTTCACAAATCATGTCTTCCATCCTCTAGGAACATCCTCACATATTTAAAAAAAACAAATATTCTCTTCATTTTCATGATAATATACACATATATAGACTCACAAGGTTCACATGCAGAGATGTCTACCGTATTGGTCTCAATGTTTACTATACACAATAGTCTATAAAGCAAAAATAGTCTATAAAACAAAATAACCATAATCAACTGGTGTGTGTTAAGGGATAGATGGGGTGTAGGTTTTGTTGTTGTTCTTTCTTTTGTTTTTAACAATATGTATTCAATATGTATTTTTACAGTGACAAAAACAATACTGTGCAAATGATTTTGTGGGAGGAATAGCATGTAGTTACAAAAAAAAAAAAAAAAGACTTGAGTTACCTATGCTCTGCATGAAAAAGTCCTCACTCCTTTCAACTGTGCTCTGTATTTTCTATTAGCTGTCATACATTTACATGCACAGTAATACTTCCTAAAATGTACTGAAATGTATTGGAACAAATTTACTCTTATAGATTCATCTTTCAGTTTGAAAGATAAACTTTCATTTGAACTATCATGTGATATGACCGGTTACTCCTGCTCTATCTTCAAACCACAGAAATCCAAATCAAGAATAACCACTAAGTGGCAGCATATACATCTAAAAAGGAGGGAATAAAAATTAGTACAAAGATGTCTTACTAAGAGAGCCTCCGACTTGCATCAGAATTTTTTTTTTTTTTAAATGTCAATATGTATAAATCTGTTTGCTCACTAGGAACTGAATTCAAGCAAATGTGCAGGTACTAAAACATCATGGATTTAAAACAGAACTTTCAATTTCAAGGGTGAACAGGTGTATTTATTTCTGCCTAGCATTCTACTGTGCTGAGACAACACAGCACCAGAAGCAACCTTCATGACCACTGTAACATGATTTAATCTGTCCCATCTGACTTTTATGTCATAAGAGATATGTTAAGAGTAGCTCTCACAGTTCCTTCACTTCAAAACATTCCTTTAGACTTCCCCCACATGCTGTGGAAAAGATTCCCCAGATGAACTGTTGGAAAAGTAGCAGCTAATAGGTGAGTGAAAAGATGATTAACTATTTTACTCAACTAGAGTCATCCATTTATCTAACCTAGACCAACTGGATATGGTCTCTAAAGAGATAGCGCTAGGGTATGATATCAAACCTTACAAAGGCATTTTTCTAACTTGACAGCTAGTTTTTTTCCCTTATGTTCAACCTAATAACACTTCTTTCTTGCTTCTTTTTAAAAACACACGTAATTCTGGAAGAGTAGTTCAAATAGAGAGAACAGAGAAATAATGGAGAAAAATGATGTGTTGCCAAAATGTTTACATAATGCCAGTAAAAGGGATTACGGCACTGTAGAAATCAGTTAAATTATTTTTGCTGAACCTGGTCCCTACATATTAGTTTCATTTTAACAACAAGGTTATGAAAACACAGTGTCCAGCTTAAAAATATTACATCACCAAGAATGTCTTTAAAAAGAAATCCGAAGGAAACAGCAGTTACAAAGCATTTAGTAATTCCACTTGTCCAGAAGATTGTGTCCTATTTAACATATCGACACAGAGATCAATCATTTTCTCCTCATTTTACTTTACTGAAGTCTCTTTTTACAAAAGGACTACTTGAAAACCCAAATACACAAATGTACGCATACAAAAATATTTTCCTACAGTTGTTCACCTGTGATGCTACTCCTAATTAAGCCTAAAGTGTTACAATGATTTCAAGAAAGCCCACTTCCTTTTTATTATGTGACTTCATATTTGTGAAATGCTTAGCTCTGAAATCAAACTTTTCCAACTCTTATTTTTATGTTAAACAGTAAAAATGCACTTACCTATCCACCAATTTTTTAGCAAATCCAAAATCAGTAAGTTTGATATGTCCTTCTTTGTCTAGTAATATATTTTCAGGTTTTAAGTCTCTGTAAACTATTTCTTTGGAGTGCAGGTATTCTATTGCACAAATAATTTCTGTAGAGTAAAACAGTCCCGTGCTGTTGTTGAAACGGCCCATGTTGCGCAGGTAACTAAAAAGTTCTCCTCCTGGTACATATTCCATTAACATGTATAAAAAGCGTTCATCGTGGTAGGTCCAGAATCTGTAATAAAAATATTATTTTACTGCATAAACAAATTATCTCAGTAATTTGCTGCAGAATTAATGTAAACTGAAATCTTTTGCCCCAAGTATGTAGATAATATTCAAGAGTTACTCTGAAAGTAATGCCTTCTGTTTTAATGTGTTGGCCCAGGACATCAGAGGCGGCTGTTGGTAGTATATGGCAGTAGAGGCTGAACCTTCCCACCAATATCCCATTAAGAGTTTGTTGCTGTGTGAAAGATGGCAGCAGGGAGGCAGTCTGACAAAACGGTGTCTCACATGCAAGAGTAGATGAGCAAAGGTGTGGAACTGAATTCCTCCATGCGGAAAAAATGGCACTCATTGATGCTCCTTGATGCTTCCTGAATGCTTATGAAGACCAAGCAGTGGATGTGAGTACAGTGAGGTGGTGGGTGGTGCATTCCAGCAGTAGCAACAGTGGGTCACTTCTGCTTGCAAAGACTTTCATGATCATGGCATGCAGGCTCTTGTTCACCACCGGCAAAAATGCACAGCTAATGGTAGTGACAATGTTGAAAACTACTGTTTTGGAGCTGAGAATTTGTTCTATCAACTAGTGTTGTTATGCTCTTTGTATCCGTTGTAGTTTCCATGGAAATACACAGGAGGCATTACTTTCAGATCAACCTATCTATTTATGGTTACTACTGTGCAACCAGTAAAACCCAATCAATCTAGGACTATCTAACAGCTGTTTAAGTATTAGACTTAACCTGAAAAGTAAAAACAGATAGTTCAGAATGTGCACAGCAAACACTTAAGAAAGGAAACTCCTTTGCCTTTTACAAAACAGGTATCTGCTAAACACCTAATAACTGATTTCATATACTGCTAGTCTGCTAAGACCCAACAATTCTCACAGTTGTATTTTATTTAATCAAATACTGCCAAAGCCATGGGAGGGGAAGAGCAGAAGCTGCTTCTGTAAATATATTTTTGCCAATATATTCACACAGAGGACACCAGAGTGCTCTCCTTCCCTTTGCTTATTACTTCCTACATAGAAACATACAACCTCAACTGAAGTTAGTAAATAAGCATAAGATCATAATGCTTCCTCTACTATCTTTAACAAAAATAACAGAAAAGTAAAAAATGACAGCATTCTTTCATTTCTATGTCTCAGTATTAGCCTACTGAGAACTTTTTTTTGTTCAGATTGTTGTCTTTAAGAAATTTTGTGAATTATTTAAGAAATACTGTGATACATTCTCTCATTAAGTGCAATAAATAACAGTCAAGAATGAAGAAAATAACTCCACATAGTTTACAAATACTTTTGTATAGAATACAGGAATCTTCTGTCTCACACTCCCCTGAGCTAAGCTGGTTTTTTTTCTACCCATATTAATGAAGATGTACACCACATATCCAAATAACAGTAACATAATAATTAAAAAGAAAATGAGACTGCTATAGGGCTGAGAGATTATTTTTATTAATTCTAGTTTTCTTGAAATGTCAAGATTCATGTTAAAATCACAGTACCATATGAACTGCTGAACCCACTGAATTATGATAATTCACTCAAATGTATCAATAAAGATTGCCTATGAGTCTCCAATGAACAGCTCTCCTGAGAACATAAACATTTCCTCCAAAAAACAGCGTAAGAGTATAGTAGATAACTAACTTCTCTGTTTGAAAACTGATAAAGATCCTCTGTATATGTTCTTTCTTAAATGCAACAGGAAAATGAAAAAAAAAAAATCTTGAAGGTTTTATATATGAGAAGATATAGGATGAATGCCAGAAATAGATGATGTGCAGCAATACTTTAAAAGTCTTCATCATAAAGTGCTACAAAAAATAGAATTAAGCTTTACTGGCACATAATCCTTGATTTGTAGCCAGAGGATAATACTACCTGTGTTTAAGTTAGTGATACTAAATGGGAACACAATAAATAGATGAAAATAATGTAGTTGAAAGGATCTGAAACAGAACTATACAAAATATTATTCTTTTTTCTGATCAGTAATAGTAAAAAGAAAATAATGGAAGAAACACATGCATCAAGAAAGTAGGAGGCTGGGAAAAGCCCTGTTTGACAAAAAGTTAGTGTTCACTGTCCATAAATGCTTGTTTAGCCTAAAGCACACAAATATAATATTTAAACACAACTTAAAATTTAACTAACTCATTTCAGCTGGGTTGCTTTAAATCTCTCTTGCCAAGGGACACAGACCAAAAAAAAAAAAAAAGCACAGTTCATGCAGCATCACACACAGCACGTCCACAGGAAAAAAAAAAAAAAGGAAGAGAGCTGAAAGACATGATAAACAGTTGCCTCGCACACAAGTGAACTTCTATTTGACTTACATTCCTTTCTTGAAGCTTTAAAACCTTACATTTTGGAAACAGGGCAAGAATGAAATCCAAGAAAACTTGTCCATTTGCATTTCTGACCACTGCTTCCCTGGGGACATCAATCCTCATGATCCTGTCTGACTTTTCATACAAGTTTTCTTGTTCCCACACCTGTAAATCTGTGCTTCTAGAGCTGTGCAGCATTTTTCCCTCTCTCTTTCTTAAATAGAATTTATACATGTACATAAGTCTACATGTAAAATCCTGTTCCTCCTGTTCTGCCCATACTTTAACCAGTTTAACCAGATGCATTCTCAGCCTCTCCAACTCGCTTTCCTACATGCATATCAAATGCTACATACCCTAGAACTCATTTCACTGATATTAGCACACATGGAGGATTTGTGAACACTGGCTAGAAACTAATAGCATCACCGTTCTGGAAAAAGCAATAGCACACAAGGGAAAAAGACTCCTCCTGCAGGGCTTTTTCCACACAACAAGAGCATGATTATCATGCTTTTGCGCCTTCTCTCTTTGATGCTTTCTCGGCTTTGAAGGAGGCTGCGCTCCCTTTGCTTAGAGATTAACTAAACCTAATGTCTCACGTTAGTAGAAGAGGTTAAGGCAGATAAACGCAAAACAAATCTTGGTCAATGGCCCTGGATCCATTTATGAGAAAATGGAAATGGAAATTAACTGTACAATTACCCAAAAGTTTAGTTATCCAATGAAAAAAGACTGAATAGAGAAGTGTGCTCCTTTCTCTCATTAATAAAAGAGATCAATAAAATTATTAGACCTGAACTAAAAAAAAAGTATTCTCTATTAACTATTTAATTTGTACAAATACCATAATTACACCTCAAATATGGGAATAACAAAACATATGAAGTGCTGCTGTGACCTCAACAACGAAAAACGTTCAGAGAAGTTTTCAAAAGATATAATTAAATCTAACTATATCTTCATCAATATATTGATAGTACATACATACATAGAAATTTTTATTATTCTAACATGAAGAATTATTATAGTTCTCAATTTGATAAGCTAAGGTTAACTTTTCTTCAATTATATTTTTTTCCTCCCGTAAGAAAATCTCTGCTGTAATTTGAAAACAAGAAACTATTACAGAGACAGCATAAAAATAAAATTTCTAATAAATTATTGCTTAAATGTTTAAATTGTGATACTTAAGCTTATACTCTTGATTCTTCCACACTACTTTAGTTTGAAGTCTTACTTTAGATTACTTAATAGAAAATAAACATTTGGCGTTTGTTAAGTATACAAGAGCTTGCAATAAGACTCTGGAACACTTAGCTTTAAATGCATTAGTTTAACTGCAAAGTGAGAAAATCAATACAACTTACAATCTGATCAAAAATGGGTGATTGACCTCTTTCAAAACTGACTTTTCATTGTGCACGTGCTGCTCTTGCTTCAGTCGAATGACATCTGGAATGCTCATTACTTTCAGTGCAAAGTAATGTTTTCCCATTTTTTCCTTCACCAGGTGAACACGTCCAAATGTACCTGTGCCTGAAAAATTGAAGAAAACCATCAACTTACAAAGGGAAAAAGAAAAAAGAAAAAAAAAAAAAAAAAAGCCAAGACAATTTGCTGGGTTTAAAAACACAGGATCTCAATTTCTTTTTTTTTTTATTTTTTCCTCCCCATCAACATTACATTATATTAGCTGTTCCCGCACATCATTTTTTGGGGGGAGGGTAAGGAAAAGATTTGTCATATTTCAGTGATAATGTTTTAATAAAAATAACAATACCGGGATATCGCCACTCTTTGGATAAATAGTAGAAGCATTTCTTGCTAAGAAGGGAATTGGTCCTGAGAAAGACTAAAGATGATCTACGAAAAAAATTGATGTGTAATTTGAAAATTCAAATGTACCCAAAAGAAACGAAACATGCAAAACTGTTCTCAAGTACAGAAGAAAGGCAGGGAAACATTCTCTTAAATTTCAGACAGCAATTTTAATTCAGATTGGAAGGGGAAGGTAATGTCAACTACATATATACATGGTGTATCACATAAAGGGAAAAAATCACCTCTAAGGAAGAACTGTAACAGGCCTGACATTTACTTAATAAAAATAACAATTTAACTTTCTACAGTTTATTTATTAAAGCCAGATAGCTAAATTAGTGCTTAAAATGTAGGAACCCAAAACACAGAAGAATATACAAAATAGATAACAAAACAAACAATACAAAGTATTAATCTACTAAGGCTTGAGTGACTGAAAACAGCTGTCAGCAAATATTCAGGCAAGGAGATTATTCCCTTAAATATCTACAGAGCAGTGAAATGACTCAGTACATGACGGGAAAAAAAGCTTAAAAGTTGCTCACTTATACTTATAAATAGCAATAAGATCTTCTTGTAGTGCCGCACTGCTGTATTGACTGTTAGTAGAAGATTTCACGCACACTTTTTTTTTTTTTTTTTTTTTTTTTGTAGAATGTTGTTGCATTCCCTTCTCAATTCCTTCTAAAAAATATAAAAGGCAAATAAAAGCCAGTCAAAAACACTGGCATTTCTCATCAGGCAACATAGCAATTATTAAAGTTCCCTTTAAATGCTTTGCACTCGAGATAATTATACAGAACTGAACTGAGTATTATTTCAGAGAAAGCAGAGTTAAAAGTATTATGTTTAGCAACACTTCTATTTGTGAGCAGCACAACGTTACACATCTCAAGATGAACTCCCATTTCAGCTCTCTGGGTGGCTGGTTGCTCATCGTTTTGTTTTCATTAAACAATGTCATATAGGTTCCTCTAGAATGGTGCAGCACATTTTCAATCCTTTTCTCTGACAGAAGTACTTCCCACAAAATGAGACACTTGGCATTCACATCAATTGTCAATTTATAAAGGGCCACTCCCTTCTTCAGAAGTCCCTTCCAAGGCTGTCAGAATTTTGTACTTCTGCTCACAATTACTGCCTCGCACACGCAGTAGGAAGGCAGCCCAGTGACCTGTTGCAGAGTTATGAGCTGGTACGTCAGCTGACTGCAGGGCGGGTTGATGATCACCCTATCCTACAAGGAAACTTCCTATGACATGTAGTGGGGTGAAGAGAATGAATATGTATGTGGAAAGGGGAAGGATGGGAGAAAAAAATAGTCTGCATTACAGAGACAAGAAAAAAAGAGGGGGAAAAAGAAAAAAAAAAAAGAAGAGCTTTTGCCTATAGCAAATTCAGAAAACTTACTGTTTGTTTTGTCATCCCCCTCCCCCAACCTCCAATGTTTGTTTTCATCATGTGTACTTCCTTAAAACATTTACATTTTATTTAATTCTTTTTTTTCCTTTTCAGTCACTTGTATTTTTGTTTAAGAGCACAGCATTTGCTAAACCCAGAACAAAATACACAAACGAGGAACTAACAACTTCAGCAATTCAGTTTTACAAAAACATGCAATTCCACTACCAATACAGCTTTCAAAACCAGCTTTCAAGATAAAATTTCTCACTACACAAACTCACCCAGGGTTACAGTCATCCAAAAGATTATAATCAAAGCTTCTTTAAAAAACAAAAACAGAAAACAAACACCCAAAACAGAAAGAATTAACAAACACATATTCCCACCTGTCCTCAATTACAGCTCTTTAACCACAAAAACTGTAAACAGGTCTCAGACAATGCTTGCTGTTATATCAAAGTAAGACACCAGGTTACTCTGGAAAATTTATCATGCAATTAAATCCCTTAGCAATGCAGTCACATTGCATGACTGTAACTGTAAACAATCTCATTTTAATTTGGATGAGCCTATGCAGGAAACGAAACAAAAAAATAACACCATAAAAAAAAAACAAACAGAACATCCAAGCATGGCTATCTGTCCAGACCTAAATACTTATTATTTACATCTTTATTGGACGCATACACGAAAATAAACATCTTTGCTCATTTCAGAATTAGGAGCTGAAATGCAAATTGAAGTATCTTGAAAAAGACTGTCAAGAATAACTACAGTTCTATTACACATCAAAACTAAAAATCATCTTAAAAATTAAAGACTTCCAAATGCTGTCTTGGGAAAGTGACAATAGCTACTGCATGCGAAAATGCAGTTTTCATGTATGTTTTGGTACCTGTTTCAATAGACATCTTGCACAAACATATTCAGGTGGAAAGCCAGAGGTTTTTAATGCCCTCCTGTTTCATGACTTCGTGTATGTCCAAGAAATTTTTATTTTAAAGTGTTTTATTTTCACTCTGCTATTGGTCTAACATTAAAAACAGTTGTGCTTACAAATAATGATATCAACATTATGTTCCACTATTTTTACAGCAGGATCTGCAAGAGACTTAATTTAACTTTGGAAACACGGCCTCTTTAAAAGTCTTCCTGCCAGGAGCTGCAGAGCCTGGCATGCAATAACAGATGAGTGGCAAAACCTCATCCAGAGAGCCTGGGGGTAAAGCAGGAGGCCACACAGGTGAGCAAGAGCCTACAATCTCCCAAACCAGCCCCATTCTTAGACTGGCTGCATGCAGCATCCTTAGCCTGACTCCAAGCCACTATGGAAATCAAGATGGCAATCCAGAACCCCTCTAACTCAACAGACCAATAAGTCCTCCAACATCTGTTTTTAGGTATTTCTTCTCGTGATATGAATTTTTTCCCATTCAGATCTTCTGAGAAGATCTGTTACGCCTACATCAGTTGTTAGTGATAGTATCCAGATACAACCAGCACCCTTCCAGTGCTTCTGACAAACAATTTACACACTCAAAACCCAAAAGAAAAACAGTAGTGATATCCTGCAGTTTAAACTGAGGACTGCTTACACACTAAGTTCTTTACTCAAACTCTTCCTCTTAGAAAGAGAATAAAAGGGTAAATCAACTACATATTTATTTATTTTTTCAAGCAAAAAAAAACTGTGTGTCATTAACAAGAATCAAAGGACAAGAGAATTTGCAGAAACTCAAAGAAAAGAGCAGTATAAATGTACAGAAATGTAATTTCATTTCTGCTTTTATACACTACCACAAGCACATTCATGGCAAAAAGCCTTACAGACTGAAGCAGTGAATTGGCTGTGGGTAAAATGGAGGCTCAGCAGCCATAAAACCAAAAGAAAGTTCTACGAAGCAGACAAAGGCATGGTTACCTGTCTTGTGTCAAAGCACCACTGTCTCTTGCCCCCCAGGAAGGAGACAATAAGGTCATGGAACAACTTCTGTTAATGCTTGTGCAATTTTTTTTGTCCTGATCTCCTCAAAGCTCAGGTATTTGAACAGACTAAATTTCACCCTCTATGATAGATAAAAAAACACACCTTAGAATTACATTTTAATATTCAGACACTTAACATATAGCTATGAAAGGAAATAGGGTGTTTACAAATTTGGACAATATTCTACTGACTTTTACTTAGCGTTCAGTTCTCAAAACAAGAGAATTTCATAAACTGTACCATTCTAGATGAGACCCTATCTCCCCTTGAAGGCATATAGCAAACAGAGGTTTCTGGCCACCAGTAACAAAAGCAGTGTAGAATGCTTGTGCTATCTGCAGTATGCAACACAATTCCAAAATTTTCAGGTCGAAAGGAATAAACAGAACAAGCATGCAAAATGCTAACCACTAATCCAGTATAATCTGTTTACAACAGAAACAATAAATTTTTTGGATCCTCTTTGCAAATTTAATGTGATTGCAGAACTTGAAGGAATGTCAACAATCTTCTCAAGTAAGTAACCTTCTCTTGTTAAACACACAAAAAGGGAGGAGGGCAAATACTGCTGGGGACCAAAATGAGCATTCTCAGTCACATAAAACAAGCTGCATTCCCTAACATTGCCCACAAGAACATCCACAGCATCCAGGATTTTGTTTTTTAAAATCTGGGAGAAAACAACAGCAAAGGTGGGAATTTTTCTGATTCAATCTCAGGTACTTCTGATGATTGGAAAACCAATCCTGCTATGCTAGATCAACTGATATAATAGAGTGACTAATCACGCACAGACTATTTTGCTATTGATGTATATGACTGATTTAATGTTCAGTTTGCCTCTTTGTTTGCCCCCATTAATTAGGCCTAACTGTTCCAACTTCCTACTCTTTCAATCTCCAGTTCTTTCTTAAAAGTAAGTTTGCCCTGCTCAGATAGATACCATCTGTTTTAACAAAGAATAAATTAGGTCAAGTGAGCTACACAGCCCTAAGGGCTGCTTTCTGAGTCCCAAAGGGGCTAGTCCTAATTTCCACAGATGCCTACAGAAACCATCAGATGTATTTGTTGTTTACAGTTATTACAGTTACGATAAACATTTCATACCATGCCATATATTACATTTCATACCATGCCATATATTAGTCTTTGTTGGTAGCTACAAACAAGACAGACAATTCTGCAGAATTTCAGAGATAAAGTAGGCAAACAGTATCAGATTACAGTCTTACTACTCAGTGTCTAACCTGCCTGCTCCTTAATCTGTCTTCTCTTCAACAGCCTAGCAATACATGCCTTAGAAGGCAGAGGGGGCTTTCATTAT